TGTTCCCCAAACACTCCCTTGTACTTTCCTACCTCCAGACCTTTCTTCAGGTGATGCCCCTCTGCCTGCCAGAGATGCCTGTCCCTCAACATCAGTCCTGTCAATGGTACACATGCATATGTATATACACATACATGCACACTCACGCATGGGGGTGGGGGCATGGCAGGGAGTGACAGCCCTGGTGGAGGAGGCCCCTCAGTCACACTTCTAGCTGTTGTTTCTGTTAAAGAAGGAGGTGGATGAAAGGATCACACTGAGGGAAGCTGGGATGTAGTGTGAGCTGAAGGCTGACGGATCTACCAAAAGAACGGAGGACACCATGGGCCTCACATGGAAACTGACAGAGACCCTGGTTCCAACCAGAATAACCAGGGGAGCTAAGATAGATCCAAAAGGAGCCTCCAAAACAGAAGGGCTGAGGTGGCTTAAATGGTGGTGAAGAGAGTGCATAGGGCCAAGAACTCTTTCAAAGTGCCAGGCTTTGAAAGCTCTTGTGGGCTGGGAGGGGCTTCTCTAAGGCTCCAGCCATCATTCTGGCTTCACCGTCTCTCCCTGGATCCCTATAGAAACCTCCTCACTGCCCTTCCTGCCTTGTGCCCCCAGTCCACTTTCTGCACCGTGACAGCCAGAGTGCTAGGACACCAGTCTGATATGCCACAGCATTTCCTCCTTAAAGCCTTCAGTGACTCTTGCATCACCCTCAAGAAAAAGTCCAGGCTCCTCGGCCCGGCACTCAGGCCCCTCCAGTCTGGCCCCCACCCACCCCAGAGCTTCACTCCTCACACTCCCTGCCTCGAACTTCATGCTCCAGTGATGATCTCTGTGCTCTTCTCACCTCTATACCTTAGCTCATGCCTGTCCTTTACCCAAAATGTCCTCTTCACTTTTTACTTCTGGCGCTTTTTAGAGATTCTACACAGGCATCATCTCCTCTTCTTTGAAGCTTTGTCCCTAAAAACTGGACGAGGGGCTCTGAACTCTTGAAGTCTAATGAACTGCCCTAATCTCTCTACATATCATACCAAATATGAAACTATCTGTATATGTGGCTATAGCCCTCTTGGGGTGGGAGGTTCTGAAGCCAGTGGCTGCATTTGTCACATTATGGGTAATCATTAGCTGTCTGTTGAACAAACGAGAGATCTATGTGCCCACTGAAGGCCAAATTTCAAGCCTAGGCTATCCTCTCTGTCTTGAAGCTCCTGGGAACCTCTGCACAAACCCTTCAACTGGACGGGCTATCCCTTTGTAAATGCTGCCACCTTGTGGCCATATTCAGAAGTGCTGCCAAACATCACCTTCCCAGTGCAAGGACCAAAGTGGGAGTTGGAGGTTCCCTACAGAATCAGGCCAGATCCCAAATTTTGTGGGGGGGGCGGGGGGGGGGGGAGTGGTGAGGAGGGAAGGTCCTCAGGAGGGAGTGCCCAGAGCTCACTGCTAGTGTTCTTTCAACAGTCTTGATGGGTTCCAAGCAGACAAAATGGCTCAGAAGCAGAAAATCTCATGGCACTTGGGAAGAGTAAGGCATTAGTGTGGCCAGAGCCCAGATCCAAGAGCATTGGGCCAAAGATGGGCTGAGGCATGGCAGTCACCAAACAAGGGGGTCCCTTAACACCATCCAGTGAATGAATTTGGATTTTGTCCTCTAATCTGGACATGGGGCGGTTGAGGGAGAATGACAGATCTGGGTGTGGCCACATGCTTGGAGGCTCAATATTCATTCATTCTTACATTAAATATTTATCAAGCACCTACTATGTACCAAGCAATGTTCAAGATCCTTCGGTTACATTAATCAACAAAACAAAGATTCCTGCCCTTTCCAAGCTTACATTCTCATCTGGAGGAGTCAGACAATAAACAAAAACACTATTTTAAAGATATATTTAGAAGGGGGGTAAAAAGGCAGGGGAAGGGAAATCAAGTGTTTGACTGATGGGACACCTGGGTGGCTTAGTCTGTTAAGCATCTTGGTTTTGGCTCAGGTCACGATCTCCTGGTCATGGGATTGAGCCCTGTGTTGAGCTCCGTGCTCAGTGTGGAGTCTGCTTCAGATTCTTGTTCCCTCCGCCTGCTCACTCATGCTTGCACATGCTATTTCTTTTTAAACAAATAAAATCCTTAAAAAAAAACAAAACGCAGAAGTGCTTGACTGCAATCTTAAACGGATTGGTCAGAAAAGGCCTTGCTGAGGTGACATTTGAGCAAAGGCTTCAAGGAGGACGGAGACAGCCATGCAGGAATCTAGCAGAAGATCATTCTAAACAAAGGGAACTTGGTTTGGAGGAGAGCTCAGAAGGGAGTGAAGCAGGGAAACCAGTAAGGAGAATGTTGTAAGATAACGAGGGGCACAAAACAACAGAGGCTATGGGAATGGAGAGACACCTAGGAAGCAAAATTGGCAGGACTTGGTGCCTTCTTGCACGGGGAAGGTATATAAACCCTCCAGTCATATTGTGTGTTTTTTTTTTAATATTTTATTTATTAATTTGACAGAGAGAGACAGCGAGAAAGGGAACACAAGCAGGGGGAGTGGGAGAGGGAGAGACAGGCTTCCCGCCGAGCAGAGGGCCCGATGTGGGTGGGGCTCGATCCCAGGACCCTGGGATCATGACCTGAGCCAAAGGCAGAGGCTTAACGACTGAGCCACCCAGGTGCCCCCATATTGTGTTCTTAAGTCCCCATTTCAAGGCTAACAAAATCACCCTACATGCCACCTCTAAAGCAGGCAGTAAGAATGCTCAGCACATTCCATCCTGGATGACTCCATTACCCACCTTGATGCCCAACTCCTGCCCCCAACACACACACTGTCACCCTCCCCAGCCTCTTAATTCTTCAACCTCGTCTTCAGTGACTTTCCCTCCAGGCCACCCAGCTATCCACTCTCATGCCCATAACCAAGTCCAGTCAGCTCCTAGAACTCTCAAACCAACCCTCCTCCATCTCATCCTTTAGCTACTGTTGAATTATGTCCCTCCATAAAGGATATGTTTAAGTCCTAACCCCAGTCCTGGAAAAAGTGACTTTATTTGTAAATAAGATCTTTACAGAGGTAATCAAGATTAAAATGAGGCTATTAGGGTGGGCCTTAATCCAATATGACCGGTTTCCTTATAAAAAGGAGAAAATTGGACATAGAAACAGACACAAGGGAAGAAAATGTGAAGATGAATGACTGGAGTGATACATCTAAAAGCCAAGAAGGCCAAAGACTGATGGCAAAACAGCCATTAGGATGAGTCTGGGGCGCCTGGGTGGCTCAGTTGGTTAAGCATCTGTCTTCAGCTCAGGTCGTGATCCCAGGGTCCTAGGATTGAGCCCCGAGTCATCGGGCTCCTTGCTCAGGGAGACTGCTTCTCCCTTTGCCTGCCGCTCCCCCTGCCTGTGCTCTCTGTCAAATAAAATCTTAAAAAAAAAAATTAGGACGAGTCAAGGAAGGACTCTCCTATAGGTTTCAGAGGGAAAATGGCCCTGCTGACACCTTGACTTCAGACTTCTAGTCTCCAACACTGTCAGGCAGCAAATTTGTTGTTCTAGGCCACTCAGTCTGTGATACTTTGGTATGACAGCCCTAGATATTGGTATAGTGACAGTGCCCTGTTCTAGTTCTCTCAACTACTCCATTTCATCCCACCCCACCCCAGACATCTTCATGTGGATCTCCAGGACATTGACCTCTACGCCTTTCTATCTTCACTTGTCTCCTGGCCCACTTTGGATTCCTTGACCCTTCACTACATCTTGCTAGTCTCCTCACTATTCTTGCATCATTTCTACCTGTCTGGAAGAATGCAACAGTGATTTCTCTGAGTCCTCACCTATCCTATGGATGCTGCTGAAGCTCACACTCTCTGACTGATAACATTACAAGTTCATGGTCACCAGCCTCAGCTGGGCTTTTAGCCCTGCCTGGTCATCCTCCTGTACTTCTCGGGTTCTCTCTCCTGCAACTATCTCATACTTCCTTCCCGCCAGCCTCCTCATTCCACTCTCAGCAGCAGAGCTGGATTCCAGCTTCAAGAGGAGATAGAAACCTTCTGAACTCCCTCATGTCCCACCTTCACCTCCACACCCATCCTCATGAACACCCATCTACAACTCCTTCCCTGGAAACTTACAGGGAGTCCTCTCTCCTGTCCCCTTTGGGAGGCCCATACCTCCATGCCTCTGGATCCCATTCCCTTTTACCCCTTACAGAGTCTCATTCTGAGTTATCCACAGTCTCTTGCATCTTTAATCTCTTTCTCTACTAGCTTCTTCCATTAACCTATAAATATGCTCAAATTTCTAAATCATTAAAATAAAAATTGAAAAACTCTCTGTATCCCACATTCCTCTACATTTATCACCTCTCCTCCCATTCACAATCCCACTTTTTTTTTTTTTTTAAGATTTTATTTATTTATTTGACAGAGAGAGACACAGCGAGAGAGGGAACACAAGCAGGGGTAGTGGGAGAGAGAGAAGCAGGCTTCCTGCCGAGCAGAGAGGCTGATGCGGGGCTCAATCCCAGGTCCCTGAGATCATGACCCGAGCCGAAGGCAGACGCCCAACGACTGAGCCACCCAGGCACCCCAACACAATCCCACTTCTTGAAAGAGCTGTCTCCACTTCCTTACCTTTCATACCAAGGCATAATCTTTTCTAAGAAATTATGGAGGCAGAAGCCACACTGGAGTGGATTAAGAAGAAAGTGGGAAGAAACTGAATCAACAATTATACACAACTCTTATGCTCCCTCCTAAATTGGGTCAAGCTTTCTGGCTCTAAAGGCCTATCTTCTGTCTCCCTCCCTAAAATTCTTCCTCTAGGGGCACCTGGGTGGCTCAGTTGTTAAGCGTCTGCCTTTGGCTCAGGTCATGATCCCAGGGTCCTGGAATGGAGCCAGCATCGGGCTCCCTGCTCCTCAGGAAGCCTGTCTCTCCCTCTCCCACTCTCCCTGCTTGTGTTCCCTCTCTCACTGTGTCTCTGTCAAATAAATAAATAAAATCTTAAAAAAAAAAAAAAAAAATTCTTCCTCTAGGTTCCAACTAGGCCCTGTAGAGAGACCCAGGAGGGAAAAGGCCCCAGAATCACTAGTCATCCCTCTCTTAGCTTCTGGCCTATTTCCTGATTCTCTGAACTGCAGATCTTGTTCCTCCCAAAAGATTTTGACCCCAGCTCAGTTTCCCTCACACAAACCCCTGCCATCATCCTGGAGTTCCCAGGTGGTGCCTCAATGAGCTGCCCAAATGGGAGCCCCTCCTAGACTCCCAGAGCTTATGATACCACCTTACTGAATCATTCGTTCAGTACCGGTCACCATGCTTATTCCATGTGATCATTCCACCATGGCTAGAGCAGGCTGGATCAGGATAGGATGCTGAGCCACACACCAATAGTCTGCAAGGAGCCTGGCCCCAAAGCTCTGGGGACTAGTGACACTCGGAGAGCTGTTCATGGTAGAAGACACACACAAGTGGAGATGCTTAGAGAAAAGGCAATATGCAGAAACTGGGAGGGAGCAAAAACCTGAGTTAGCCACGAAGAGAATGGGGAGAAGTCAGGCAGTTGCTACTAACAAGACACCAGAGTGCCTGCCACAGCCTCTAAGAGTGTGTTAGATGCTCCTTGACCCTATATTTAAGAGGCCTGGCTGGGCAGCTGCTCAGAGGGTTTCCTGTCTCTAATATTCCCCGAATCTGCATCACTTGCCCCTCCCTCAGAGTCTTCCCTACCACTCTGGGCAACCTACCTTGGAAAGTACAGAATGCAGCAAAGCTTGACCACAGCCTTCTGGCCTTATGGTCAATCTCCTAATCCCTGCCCTAAGCCCTTATTGAGGCCTCCAGTCCCCCATTTCTCCCTACATCCTAACCCCTCCCACCTAGACTCAGCCAAACATCATTTCACAACTCTCAAATTGCTGGGCTCCCTGCCACAATGTGAGCCCAGAAGAGCCCCAAGTTTGTGCTTTCCTGGTGACTGGACACTCAGTCTACTGTATACATTGGAGAAGACCTCAAAATCCAGTGGGAGATCCACCTGACTCAACTCTTCACTGAATCTACCACTGCCCACAATCCTGCTCTGGTCCCAGCAGACTCCTGGCTATCACTGCAATCTTCACCTCTCTCCTCATGCCCCTGGCCTTACCATGGTGAATCTGAGAGTCTATGGCCAATTTGAGACAGAAAAGGATAAGCAAAGGGTAAAAACGAAGGATGAGACCTGGAGAGGAGATACGAGATTGAGCTATGTTTTTGGTTTTTTTTTTTTTAAGATTTTATTTATTTATTTGACAGATAGATAGTGAGAGCAGGAACACAAGCAGGGGGAGTGGGAGAGAGAGAAGCAGGCTTCCCGCCGAGCAGGGAGCCTGATGTGGGGCTCGATCCCAGGACCCTGGGATCATGACCTGAGACAAAGGCAGACGCTTAACGACTGAGCCACCCAGGAGCCTGGTTTTTTTTTTAAGCTTATTTATTTAAGTAATCTGTACACCCAACATGGGCCCTGAACTCATGATCCTGAGATCAAGAGCCACATGATATTCCAACTGAGCCAGCCAGATGCCCCATGAGCTATGTTTTTAAGATAGGAAAAAATGTTTGTAAATAGAGTCATTAATAATGATAGCAATTAACATTTATATAGCAATGCCCAGGTGGTATCTAAAAGTCATATGTGTATATTTCTACATTTACTCCTCATTAACAACCCTATGAGGTAAGCACCGCATATATCCTGTTTTATGGATGGAAACACTAAGGCTCAGAGCACTACTTGCCCAGGGTCACAAAGCAGTAACTTACTAGCACATGGCAGAACCAGGATTCAAATCCAGGCAGTAGGTACCTGAGACCATGACCTTAATCACTATACTATAATAAATCCTGCAGAGAAAATGTCCCTAAACCAGGGGTGGGGTGGAGGGGTACAGGGACTCCCCCTCCTTTAATCCCACCTCCACATAGCAGGTCAAGCAGAGGCTCATCAGACAAATGGGCAGAACCTTTATTTCCTAACCCACTCCCTGGATCTGTCAGAAGAAAGGACAGAGGTACAGTAGGTAGAATGCCAAATAAACCCTTCTTAAGCAATCCAGAACCCAGCTGAGACCGCACAACTGTAACTTTTTTTTTTTTTTTAAGATTTTATTTATTTATTTATTAGAGAGCAAGCGAGAGAGAAACAGCATGAGAGAGGAGAGGGTCAGAGGGAGAAGCAGGCTCCCCGCTGGGCCGGGAGCCCGATGTGGGACTCGATCCCAGGACCCTGGGATCATGACCTGAGCCAAAGGCAGCCGCTTAACCAACTGAGCCACCCAGGCGCCCCACCTGTAACTCTTCATAGCTGTCCCTTTCCACACACCAGAGAGAAGAGGAAGCAGGACAGGGAGGCCCACTTCTGTGGATTCAAGTCTTGGTGGGGATGTTGAACGGTTACAAGAGGCTTTTCAGAGAAGGCAAAGCCATCCCAGACATTCATGCCTGGAAAATAGCTTGCTTGGCAGATCTTCAGGACCAGGTGTCTCGAACCCTTCTTCGAGGTCGTGGGCCACAGCTGGAGCTTGATGTGGGGCCCAGGCCAGGGGGTGCTCCTGGAGGCTGGTAGCCACACTCATTGGGGTCCAGGGGGTCCCGGCTGAGCAGTACCCACACTGCAGGTACATGGCGGCGCACTGTGAGGGGATCCAGGCCAGTGTCAGGTGAGACTGGCACCCAGCTGTCCTCGGTCTGCAGGAAGCGCAGCTTGGTAAGCTGGTGCAGGCCTGGAACACGCCGCTTGACAATCTCAGCACAGCTGACCGCCTTCCCTGCAGCGCGGCCAGAACCTGAGAACACCACATGCCGTGCACTACCACCCTCCAGTCGACCCAGTGCCAGCCCCAGTAGGTTGCGGATTTTGCTGCCATCTCGGACCCGCATCTCCAGGGTATCAGGAGGTAGCTGGGGCATCGGAGAAGGTGCTGGGAGTTCCACAGAGCCAGCTTTCTGGTAGTGCTCCATTCCACTTGCTGTTGTGTCTGAATTTCACGGTCCACTGCAGGGAAGTGTCAGATGAATGCTGGGCAATACGCCCCAAGCCATCCCCCAACCCCAGCTCTCCAGGAAATGGTCCTGCTCTTCATCCCAGACTTCCCAGGAACAGGACTGTATCCCCTCACCCTTGGCTTCTCAGCACAGGTGCCATGCCTACTTTACCCTGGGAAAGGGCAGTATCCCAAACACCCCATTCTTCTGGACATGGCCATAACCCTCCCTCCGCCCTAGAGTCCCTGACACAGGACCAAATTCATCAAACACTGGGCTCTTTAGGATAGGCCAAGCCCCCTCATCTTGAGCTCCTTGGGACAGGGCTGCGCCCTTGAACGAGAACTTCAAGTACCTCCATTTTCACCTCAACTGTACTTTCTAATAAAGTTCTTTTCAGTTTATCTTTATCTTTTTTTTTTTTTAAGTAAGCTTTACGCCCAACATGGGGCTTGAACTCACAAGCCCTAAGATCAAGAGTTGCATGCTCTACTGACTGAACCAGCTAGGCACCCCTTTAGCTTATCTTTTAATACAGGCAAAAGACCCTGCAGGCAAAGCATCTCTTGATGGGAACCAAAACTACCCCTCAAGCAATAACGACTGCCCTAAGGCCAGCAAGACCCCCTCTGATTGGCCCCAAGACAATGATGGACCTGCCCTTTACTGCCCATTGCACCTACAGACCGACCTTTGTCCCACATTCTCCTTATATAAACCTAGAAGCACTGTCAACCCTTTGAAGACAGTCTTTGAGCCTAGTGTGCTTAGTGTTGGCCCCACTGAAATGAATTCCTTTCTTGTTTCACCACCAGTCGTCTCTGCCTTTGGATTTTGTCAGCCGGGAGTGGCAGAACCTGGTCTGTTTGGGACCCCCAAAGCCAGGTGCTTCTGCACCCCTGTACCCTGGTTACACCCTTGCCCCAGACTTTTGAAAACAAGACTGAGCGCCCCTCACCCACAGCTCTCTAAGACAGGGACAAGGCCCCGTCACTCCGCTCGCAGAGGTTCCTACACTCCAAGCTCCCTGGCAAGAGCCAAGAGCCCTCCTCCAAATGCTCCTCAAACAGAACTGAACCCCTCCCCTACTCCGGGATCCTAAGAATAGGGCCGAGCACCCCTCACCCTGAGATTCCCAGGGTCGATGCCCCCAACCCAGGTCACTCAGAAACACGGAAGCAGAGGCTTGACGCGGAGGGCTGCGTGGGCTACTCCTGCTGTGGAGTCCACAGCCCGGCCCCCTTCACCGCCACAGGCGGACTCCAAGGCCCAGCAGGCCGCAGAGGCCAAGAAGCCAGCCTCCCCTCTCCTCCCTCGACCTCCAGACAACCGCACCACCGACCCGCAACGCCGCTACGCTCTAGCTCTCACCGCCCCGGCCGCTCACGCCTCTAGTTCGATCTGGAGCCAAGATGGCGCGCACGCCGGGAGCGCGCCGAAGCCGCGGGGCCGCGCACGCCGGCTAGGGGCGGGACCTGCGGGCCGTGGCCCGCGGGGCCTCCGCGGGAAAACGGAGTACAGCCTGGTCGTCTAGGAGTGAGCTGAGCCCGGACACCCTGAGACATGAACATACAGGCAGTCTCCGCTGTTACGCCCTGGGGCACCGCTACCGGGGCGCAGAAGAGCACTGCGGAGAGGAGCCACCAGAGACTCGCGTCCCAAAGATGGGGAGGATCCGGTCCTGAGACGATGGCAGGGCTGGAGTCACCAGTAGACCGCACTGCAATAGCAAAGGCGACGCAGTGGGTTTCACTTGACGGGGCAAGAGGTTCCGTTTGAAGTGGTTGCTGCTGCGCGGGGGAGAGCCTTGGTCACCGAGTTCTGCGCTTCGACCTCATTCTGTGGGCATGGTGAGCCACCGGAGGCTTTTCATTAGGGGCCAGGCAAACCAGTCTGTGCGCACAGCTCACTCTGGCTGCCGACAAAGGGGGTGGGATGGGGAAACTGGGCAGCAACCGCCGGTGAACAGGCCGCGGGGTGCTGGGGGCGTGTCCACGGAGACTCGTACGGTGCCTAGCGTGTAATAGGCGCTCAAATATTTGTTAAATGATTTGAGAATGAAACAGAAATAGCAGTCGGAATAGAGAAAAGTAGATTAAGTTGGGAGATATTAGGAGGTAGGTTTGGTGAGTTGGTGACTGTCTGGACTGAGAAGAAGTAGAGAGTCTAGGATGAGTCCCAGGTTTCGGTCTTAGGACGTGCTGAATCTGAGACGCTAGCGAAACCGTGCAGGTTGAGTGGCGGGCTGGCAGGCCGTTGTAAAGGGGTTTGGGGCAACGGCACTCCCTGAGACCACAAGGGGGCAGCAAACACTGGGTGCAGTGAGGCACCAATCCCTGTCTCCGCTCTATGACCAGGCTCCCTCCTTCTCCAGCGCAGCAACCCTTCCTCTTCTGTGCTCCAAAGGACCCAGTTGGTGGGTGGGCTCTTTTCTTTGACCATCTCCCTAGCTAGTCTGTGCAAGGCAGGGATCACATCCTCCCCACCTAGCATGGTATCTGAAATATAGAGGATACTTGATAAATGTGGGATAAATGGGTGCACAAACAAATGTTCCACCCATATCGATCAAATGAGAGCATTTGTCCTGAGAGCTCTACATCCCCCAGAAAGCCAGACCAGGATGAGTATAGCTCCTGGTCCAACCACTAGAAAGGCTGACAATTCTGCCCTCTACCACCCCCATCCTCACCATCATTCCCATCACAGACCAGGAAGTTGGCACATTCCTCCAGTGATTTCTATAGTTTATTGTCACTGGAATAGGACACTGATGTGGGGAGGGGGTGCAAATAGCAAACCTCAAGTAGCCAGACCTCTGACCTCAGAGCCCCACCTGAACGCAGAGAGGTAGGCTGCGAATCCAATAAATACAGAGCTGCCTCTGCCCTGTTACAAAGGCAGTTTAGCACAGGGCCCTGGAGCCTGGCTGTCCTGGGCCACCCAGGAATGGGAAGCAGCCATCACTCCTCTGCTGGCTTCACTTGCTTGGCGGCCTCTAGCTGGCAAAGTAGCTCATCCCACTGCACAAATTGCTTGGAGAGAAGCATTGTCTGGTGGCAGGTCAAGGTGAGAACAAGAGCCTGAATGAGGTAGTGGAGAGATTTTCCATCTGCCAAAGGGTTGGGGAGGAGGGGAATAGAAAGGTTCATTGGGATGGGATGAAACAGACAGAGCTGCTGGAGACTGAACAAAAGGACAGGGCCTTGGACAGCATTCCTTAGGGGCCTGGCTGAGCAGAAAGGATACAGTTTTGTTGTATTCCTCCAGGAGAGCCTTGGACTCCTCAGTGATCTCCACACACTGGTCCTATGGGGCCAACGTATGGCAGAGAAAGGAGTTGGATAAAGCCCCCACTTCCCACTAACTTTCCTGCCTTATCAGGGACCTTCACTCCCCATAAAGCCTAGAAAAAGTAGTGTTTAACCCTAGAGCTAAAAGGAACAAATTTCGGGCGCCTGGGTGGCTCAGTCGTTAAGCGTCTGCCTTCGCCTCAGGTCATGATCCCAGGGTCCTGGGATCGAGTCCCACATCGGGCTCCCTGCTCGGCAGGGAGCTTCTCCCTGCTTCTCCCTCTCCCACTCCCCCTGCTTGTGTTCCTGCTCTCGCTATCTCTTTCTCTGTCAAATAAATAAATAAAATCTTTAAAAAAAAAAAAGGAACAAATTTCTAACGGGACACTTTCAAGCTCCAGAATGGGTACCCTAACAGCAGCCCTAAGGGGGAGTGACCACTCATTTAAGGAAACATTCCTGCTAGTATATGTCTCCTCCTTCCCTGTCCCCTATATCTGAATCCTTTTTTTTTTTTTTTAAAGATTTTATTTATTTATTTGAGACAGAGAATGAGATAGAGCATGAGAGGGTCAGAGGGAGAAGCAGACTCCCTGCCGAGCAGGGAGCCCGATGTGGGACTCGATCCCGGGACTCCAGGATCATGACCCGAGCCAAAGGCAGTCGCTTAACCAACTGAGCCACCCAGGCGCCCTATCTGAATCCTCTTTGAACTTTAATCTAAGGCCTGGGAATGGTAAAACAAAACAAAACAAACAAACAAAAAACAGCTCCTCCACTCAATGTCAAGGACACACAATCCCCAGAAATTCTTGGGCACCTCCCATCATCAACCTTCTGGTGTCTCAGAACAGTCCTACTCAGAGAGGCAAGAGACTTAAGGCAGATGGAAGATAAAGAATAAACCTTCAAGTTTCCCCTGGAGCTAACATGAGGGTAGCCTGATGCTGCTTCCTCAGGTGGCAGGGGTGGGGACTAGGAGCCTCACCACTTCTACTTTCCCTTCCAGTCCTCACCCCTCCCATACCTGCTGCTGGATGTGGATCTGGGCCAAGCGCTGCAGGCGGGCAGCATGCTCAGGAACAGCTGTAAAACACAACACGCACTGCCCGATGATGCTTGTGCTTTCCCCCGGGACTGCTCAATAGTCTATTAGGTCTTCAGCAGGATTAGAGTATTGAGTGGAGAAGCTAAGCAAACGCCAGGCTTCATCGACCACTGCAGCTAAAAGTGGTGGGGCTCCCTGCCCACCCCAGTCTTACTCTAGGACCCAGAGGCGGCGAAGATACAGGCTCCTAGGAGAAAACAAAACCTTGGGTTCCCCAGAGTTGCCCCATGCCCCCACCCCAGTGTTGTAAGCAGGGTGAAGTAAAGAAAGCTTTGCCTATCATGGGATCTGTCTCTTTGCTCTCAGCCCAGTGGGACCAGGTCTGCCTGGAAGAGAGAGCCTGCAGGTGGGCTGAGAATGAATGCCAAGTTCCTAAGCTAGACACCTGGAATCCAACACCCAGAGCCTTGGCCACCATGCTGGGCCCACAGCTTAAGGCTGTCAGACCCTCAGCAAGGGAGGAGAGGGGGAACTAGGAAAAAATACCTCCAGAGACAGACAAGATGGATATCTGGATTCAATTAAAGTCACTGTCTGCTTGTCAAAAGAGGCCCAGGGACTGCACTGGGAAGTGTGGTGGGAAGAATTTACACACATTCACATGCCTGGCAGAAACTCTTACAGTAATATCTGGGCTACGCAGCACCGTGCAGAACATATGCTGAGGGGGTGAGGAAGAAGGTAGAAGGAATACCCAGAGTTGGGGGCTGCTGGACTTAGACTAGTGTCCTTAGGTCCAAACTGCCTGAGGTTCTGAAACTGAACTCTCTGCTCTGGCCATTTTAATCCCAGTGCAGGTAGCAGGTACCCCCAGAGTGAGGGTAGAGACAAGGAGCAGACTAAGCTTGAACCCAGGGAACCTGAGGCACAGGGAAGTCCTGGCCATCCACCCACCTCCCCAAGCAGAAGAGTAGAGCTACAGCCCCAAAGAGGTACCTTTGATGTGGGCGCTGTCCAGCATGGGCACCAAAGCCTCCACCTGCTCCAGGAGTGCAATCTGGGATAAGATAAACTGCTCCTCTGAGGCAAAAACAGACAAGACAGTGGCAGTGAGGTAAGCCTGGGCACTGCAACTCCTATGCAAGGGGCTGAGGCCCTGGCAGGGGAGATGCCTGAGTCCTGGAGCATGGGCCAGCTACTCTGCCCATTGCCCCCTTCTCTAGGTGCACATTCACCCATTCTGCCCCCACCTCTCCTAGGTGCCTCTGGTATGAGCCATTTGAGCCCAAGGAGCCTCTAAATTTCTTCAAATCCCACCTTTCTTAAAGTTTTAACTCTAAGGCCTCTTCCTCTAGCCTCCTATCAACAAACTCAGTGATGCCACAGGAGACAAAGTACTTCAGACTTGGGTCTCCATGCCCAAGGACTCCTGGGAAGGTATGAAAGAGGAGACATTTGGCAGAATATCAGGCAGGTTCTGCTCAGTGGTCCTGACAGGCAAGCTTCTGGAGAGCTGGGGCAGTAACAGCAGAGCCCAGTGAGAAGAGCAGGATCTGGACTGGACCTGGCATAGGTGATTTCAATGGTTGCAGTGAGTAGGAAGCACATTCAAGAAGGGATGACTGTTGGGGCGCCTGAGTGGCTTAGTCGTTAAGTGTCTGCCTTCGGCTCAGGTCATGATCTCAGGGTCCTGGGATCGAGCCCTGCATCGGGCTCCCTGCTCAGCGAGAAGCCTGCTTCTCCCTCTCCCACTCTCCCTGCTTGTGTTCCCTCTCTTGCTGTGTCTCTCTCTGTCAAATAAGTAAATAAAATCTTCAGAAAAAAAAAAGAAGGGATGACTGTTATGTCAAATATTTGGAGGCAAGGATGCTTATCAAATAATAGAGAAAAAAGAATTCAATTGGCTGAACTGGTGCAAAGAGAGCACAGGAAACAGAGCTGCATGGGAACATAGATCCATAGACTATCGAAGGCTCTGAATGGCAGGCTAAGGAATTAGGATTTTATTCTAGCAAGGAGAGAGACGGAGATGCTGAGGTTCCAAAGTAGACAAAGTAGCATGTTGGAGATGTGTTTGGGGAAGAGGATACTGGATCACATGCAAGAAGGGAAAGACTAGGGTCAGGAAGAGGACTTAGAAGACTGCAACTATTCATGTATGAGGGGACAGACACTGAGGCAGTGGCCAGGGAGGGATGGAGAGGCTGGACTCCATAGTCGGTGTAGGAGAAGATCTCCTGAACTTGGTACCTGAGCCATGGCAATGGTTTAGGGATGTTCTGGTTCACCACCGTATACCTCACACCAAGGATGGTCTGGATCACAGTAGATGATCGATCATTAAACATCTTTTGAATGAATGAACAAACACAGGTACTTTGCAAACCTTACCTGATGGAGTGGCTGACTAAACTGAGTAGCAGACATTGCCAAGTCAATAGTCCCTGCCTAGAACTCCGAAATCCCAGTGCTTTCTCACATGAAAGAAAAATGTTGAAACTCATACCAATATTCTAACCTCTCCCAAATGCAATGCTCTGCTCCCACCCTTTCCTAGAAGCTCCCCCGTCTAGTGAGCAGAAGTGAGGAAGGTTCTAAAGGAAAATCCTAGAGACAGACCACTGATAGAACACTGGAGTAGTGGGGCGCCTGGGTGGCTCAGTTGGTTAAGCAACTGCCTTCAGCTCAGGTCATGATCCTGGAGTCCCAGGATCGAGTCCCACATCGGACTCCCTGCTCAGCGGGGAGTCTGCTTCTCCCTCTGATCCTCCCCCTCTCATGCTCTCTGTCTCCCATTCTCTCTCTCAGATAAATAAATAAAAAATATTAAAAAAAAAAAAAAGAACACTGGAGTAGTTCCCACTGTTGTTGGCACCATGGCCTGCAGCTAGCTCAGAATGATACCACACCCAAGGCCTACTAGAGGACTACAGGATGACCTCAGGTCTCAGCCCAGAGCCAGGCCAGAATTCCAGACAGCAGCTTCCAGAGCTGTATCCATGAGAGGACTGGCAGAGAGGCCATCTCTGTGCCCAACTTCCCCCACAATCCATAATCCCCAGATTCATGTGCACACACTGCCCAGCACTACCTGCTAATATGAATTGCAGCTTAGAGGCATCAGGTATGGAGATGCGGTCAATGTACTCAGGATCCAGATATTTGATCAGGTCTTCAACTAGAAAAGAAGCAAGATGGAAAATGGAATGGGGCTGGGGAGTGGGGAATCTGATTTATGAAGGATATTAGGGGATATTAGAAGGATATTAGTGGTCAACCTTGGGGAGAGTCTTGAGTGAGGAGATGACATCCACAGTGCCCATCAGCAGGCCTCCATCAGGCCCCACCTCCCTGTCTCTCCCCTCTGACCACCTCCTGGCTAACCTCAGCCTTTACAGCTGGGAACACAATTGCCTCCACCATCCTGGGGCCTTTAGCATTCCCACTGACCTATCTTCACCAAAGGTGGAAGGTCCCTTGCCCCTCAGTGCCACCAAGACAAGTCAGAGCTTTTTCAAATTTTTAGGTTGCTTGCTTTGACATAATCAAAAACGTATGGCTAAAAAAGCCTGGGGTTCTCAGGCCCAATTTCTTTCCTGCCTTTGAACCTTGCCTATGGAAATCCCATACCTCTCCTCCTTACTTTACCAAGAGGGCCTTTGAGGCAGAACTCTTATCCCATAACTTAGGACACTGTCATGGGCTTGGAGTTTAAGCACAACACCCCACTTCACCATTTCAGCAGGGAAAAATCTTCACATTCTATCCCCATAGGGCAATTCCAGTGACCTACTGGGCTGGAGGGCAAGGGCCAGGTCCCAGGAAGCACAGGCATGGGAAGGAGGTCAGGCAGGCACCCTATGGAATCACTTACTCTTTTTGTACAGAATCTTCACCCTCTCCCTCTTGCTGGCAATGTTCCCCAAAGCCACCTGTACCTTGACTAGGCCATCAGCCACCTGTAAGGGGAATGAAAGTTAATTCCAAAATTCACCTCTTGACTCAAGGCTTGAAAGAGGTAAAGAACACTCATTCCCTCAGACTCCCAAGTCTCCTTGACCCAGCAAAGTAGGTTGGCCCCCTTCTCTTTTCTTAAGGGAGATGCAACCCCACCTTCTGGGAATCCTCACTGTGAAGGGGAAGATAATCATGTAGTCCCTGGGAAGTTTCAAGTCTGACTAGGGAGGTAATTAACTATACTAGACTTCATAGGGCATTAGCATATCCTATATATTCTATTCCCTGGTTCCTACCTCTCTAGCTGAACCTACCTAGGCTTTAGGGGTAGAGGGTGAGGAATCCCGATATTAAAGGGTCAAACAAAGGGAGAGACCATGGGAGTGAATGATCTCACCCAGGTTTTAGAATATAGGGTAAGGAATGCCAATATTCAAGGGCCAAATATATGGGGAGGCAAACAGGACTAAGCAGCAACAGCCATAGCGGTAGGAGGAAAACAAGGATTTAGTGTCATAGACGTCAACCGGAGCAAATGTTTTGAGAAATCAGTTCTCAGATGGGGCATAATCTGCTAGTGACAACTAATTCCACAAGAAGTGTACAAAAAGACATCATTACCTCTGATACACTTAACTCCAGGGTATGCCTGACACTCCACCTTCAGTAAAAGGTCTTCCCATAGTAAAAAGGGGGTGAGGGGGTGGGGTTGGGAGAACTAAGCTTCACAGTTGTCAAAATTCAGTCACTGGTGTGGACTGCCGGTCCATATCTCAACACCCAGTACCCAATCCCTTCCCCTCTTAGTCCTGGCTCTTTCAGACCTCACCTCCCAACCCTGGAGCCTTCCTTATCCACCTTTGCTCTGCCTCCTCTGGCGTCCCATGGACCTCTTTCTGTACAGTATTTAGCAATTAGTTACGCAGGGCTCTGTGACGGCCCTTCCATTGCGGACTTCAGCTCTTACTGAAACTCTCGTTAGTCAGCTTCTCGAGTGTGTCAGGTCTCCCCAGCTAGGCCGCGAGGACAGAGGCGGAGTCTTAGTCACATTTCACACTGAGCCCATCGCAATCGGTCCTAATAACCCGCAATGCCCTCCATGGAAATGGACCCCGAGGGTCCGATAAGCTCTGCAAGGTTTCGAACCTTTATTATTTCAAAGGCCGGGCTGCGGGAGATGAGACTGGAGCGGTAGCATCCATCCCGACGACCAGGCCAGTAGACCGCTCTTGCTCTGCCCCAGAAAGAGAGCACTGGATCCCAGATCGCTCACCTTCCGAGAGCCGCGCGGCCCGCCCGACCCGTACACCCAGCGCTCCAGTTCCTCCACACGGGCCTGTAGCCGCTGCACATCGGTCACAGCCGCCATAGCTACCGCCGCCCCGCCTCAGCCGGGGAACAGCCAGAGGGCGGGACATCCGGCCAAATAGAGAAGGCGGGCTAATCCGAGTGCCTGGGCGGACCTCGATACGGGAAGTTGCGTCACGATTCAGCCCTCCGATGCCGGAAGTGACCGGCAGGGCCCGTGAAAGGTGTCAAAAGCTGTCTGGTTACCTAGGCAACGGTTACCCTAGCCAACCTTCCAGCTGTCGCGCCCTACCCTAGCTTCCAGCTTCTGCTTGTCCAAACTTTTGCCTTTCTTCTAATTCCAGGGTACCAGAGAGGTTTCCCACTCCATTCCCCGAGATTGCCCATATAAATACACCTATTTTTTAAGGATTGGTCCATTCCCTTAGATCAGTAGGAGACTCCGTGAGATGCCATAATCTTCAGGAGTCTTTTAGGGTTCAAGCAATTAAATGTCTTGCCCAAGGCCACTCCGCACTCTACTAGTAGAATCAGGATTTGCACTCAGGCAGTCTGATTCATGAACTCCACCCCCTCTACTTTCATGGACCTTTGCTGTTCTGTCTTCCCCTCTGAGAAACCCTGGCCCAACACACCCTGTGTATACCACATAATCCCTCCCCAACCCCCAGACCCAAACAAAAAGGAGAGGAGGCACTGGAGAGGGAGGGACTGCACCTTTATTATTCAGATGTGACCTGAGGGACGACTCCTTCACAACACCCCAACCTAACCCTTCACATGGCTTCTGAAGGGAAGCAGGTCTGATTTGAAGAGGTGGGGTCCTAGAGATGACACTGACACAGGGAGGCACACGAGGAGATGATGGGGGTTACTGGGGGCAGAACTCTTTGGTAGCTGCTGCTGGGGTTGGCCAGGGAGGAGATGCTCTCCCTTTACAATGAGGTAGATGTAACATAAAAAAACCCCCAAAACAAAAACAAAAACAAACCTCTTTGGCTTCAAGCCCACATGGCATGGTGGGGGGGTGGAGGTCATCTCCCAGGGCTGGGTCCTAGAGTGAGCACCCTGGAAGAATCAAGATGTGGGGGGCTGGGACTCTTAATTCCAAGTGGGAGTTCTCAGGGTGAGGGGCTGGAAGGGGGCCCTGTAGGGAGTGGAGGTACAGGGTTGGTTGGGCCCTGGGAAGCTGGCACAGGCTGGCGACGGGCAAAGAGGACACCTGACAAAGGGGTGAGGAGATGGTGGAGGGAAAACACAGGCAGGAGGGGGTAGGCACAGAAACAGAAGGGGAAAACAAAAGTCAGTGTCCTGATTGTTAGAACACCACACACATATCCCTGTCACAAACCAACGAGGACAAACCCCTTAGGTCAGTGGAGACTCCTATGCCAATATAGATACCCTCAAACAGGTAAACAAGAAATATTTACACTGATACATAGGCCCATGACAAGGCAGACATCCCATGGTACCCATGCCAGAGAGGTCATGCCTTAGACCCCATGCCATTGTAGACACCCCTTTAACCCATGCCATTGTAGCAATCCCCTGAAGCCCACATTACCCATGCAAGTTTGGATATCCCTGAACCTCATGCTAGCTGAAAAAATCTAAAATCCCCATGCCAGAGCAAATACCCCTGACCTCATGCCAGTATAGACAGCCTGCTGTACCCATACCAGTGTAGACCACCCCGTTGATCTCTAGGGCCATGTTGATACTGCTGATACCACTGCCTGCCAGACTGAGAGGCCCATCCAGCCGCTCTTCTGTCCAGGAGGGGCAGGGAGTCACATTTTGGAGAATCAGACTACAGACTTATAAGCTCCCCCCTCCATCCTTATAGACAGCCCCATTCCACTTCAGCCCGATACCTACAATCACACAGTTGTCTATTGAGGGATCTTTCTGCCCCACCTCCAACATTTATGTCCTCCCTCAGTGCACAGGTCCGAAGCCCTCTCAGCAACAAGCCCCTCCTCACCCCTCAGGGGAACCTTGCCACCGGGCAGGAAACTGGGGGGAGCTCCAGGTTGAGGTGGATCCATGTGCCCCATCAGCACAGCCCTCTTCTCTGGGGGCTCCTCTGGTGCCAACTTCTCCCTTGCAGGTCCCAAAGCCAAGCCCACAGGCAGTGCCAGTCGAGGGGCTGGAATTCCGCTTTCCTCTGGAAGAACAGGTCATTAGGCTCTCCTAGACCAACCAACTCTGCCTCTGCATTTGGTTCTCCCCCCAGGCCTGGGACCAGTGGAGGTCACCCAAGCTGAAGCACCAATTTTGATCCGCCCACCCCCCATCCAAAGTCTCAGCCTCGAGGCTCTGAAGCTGGAGAGCCCAAAGGGCCAATATATATGTCTAGGTTGGTCCAAGATGATGTGGGTCCTTTCCTTGTTCTTAGTTATTAAATAATACAGGTCACAGGAGGCAAAAACTACATGCAAACAGGAGCCCTAGGTGGACAGGTGTGGAGTGGAGCTCCTCTAGATAAAGGACCTTTTTCTGAGCTTCAGGTCCACACAGCAGGAACCCGTACCCCAGACCTCCCACGGCTTCATTGACCCCAAACCTCAGTACCCCTAAACCTTAGCGGTCAGCAAACCCCAGTGCCCTGTCAGTCCTTGCTGCCCTCAGACCTCAATGCTTCCCAGACTTCAGAGTCGCCACATTTTAATGTTCTCTATATCTCAGCGCACCCTCTAAGGTCTCAGAGACGCCCAAACCTCAACCTCTCTCCCCTCGCACCTTTTTTAATGGGGCCCGGGCTCAGCTGCGCGCAGGCGTGCGCCGGCAGGCCGCAGGCGGAGCCTTGGGCAGGACGGGGGCTGGGCGTGGGCGTGGGCGTGGGCGGGGCGGCGCCAGAACCCGAGATTTGGCCGGGAGTTCCCCGAGGGGTAGGCCCAGCTAAGCCGTAGAGAGGGGCGGCGGTATAAGCCTGACGACGGCCTTCGCGCCGGTTGCTGTCGATGGCTGCCTGGAGCTCCCCCGGGGAGCTGAGCGCCCGCGTCTCGCACTCGTACGGGTACAGATACTTCATGTACCTAGGGGCGGACGAACAAGGAGGGGTGGGTGGGAGGCTGGACCCAACTGATCAAGCCCACAACGGAACGTCCGCCCCTGGGCTCTCCACGCCCTGTGGCCCCCTTCCCAAGCCTTCCCCGCTCCGCTCGCGCGCCTGGCCTCACTGGGTGCGTAGAGTGAAGGCTGCCGACGTGATGGTGGTGGGCAGGCTGAGGCCGCGCGTGACCTCCCGCCACACCTTGCGGTTGATGACTTCCACCAGGCCGCCTTTGGCTGTCACCAGGCGAAAGAGCGCGTACAGGTCCAGCACCTGCTTTGCCATGATGGGCACACGGTTCACTGGCGTCCCTGGTGGGAGGTGGACAGAGAGTCAGGACACTAAGACTAAGACCCTGCCTGCGGACATCCTCAAGGACTGAAGGAGTCGGCTGCCTGGACGAGGCCAGGGTACAGGGCGGGACCTCTGAGAAAAGGAAGAGGGAGGGATGGGGAGGTGGGATTCCAGGCAGAGCCCACAGAGCCCCCAAGCCCTGCACTGTAGCAGGGAGGACAGGAAGCTAGATCAGGGGTCGGTAAACTTCTGTAAAAGTCCAGACGGTAAATATTAAAGGCTTTGAGGGCCAAACCGCCTCTGTCCGAACTACTCCACTCTGCCGTTGTAGCTTGAAAGCAGGTATGGAGGATATTTAGAGGAATGGGCCTGGCTGTGTTACATTAAAAACTTTATTTACAGACCCTGAAATTCGAATTTCACACGTCCTGAAATGTTACTGAAATGTTATTCGTCTTTTAATTTTTTCCACTATTTAAAAATGTAAAAACCATTCTTATCTCGCAGGCAGCTAGATTTGGCCAGCCGGCTTTAGTTTGCCGACCCCTGGGGTAGACCGTAGTAAGGACTCCCGGACAGTGCTGAAGAGCTGGACTCCCCTAAGCAGCGGCCGGGGGATGGCTGCCCGAGACCGGCGGATGGCGGATGGAAGGAGAAGCAGCCCCCGCCTCGGCTCGCCAACTCCGCAGCTCACGCCGCCCCCGCCGGCCAGTCCTGACAAAGGGGCCTGTCTGCGCTGAGCGATGGGCCCCAGTTAATTCCTTACCGATCCCGTCCCCTTCCGCCGCCGCCTTTGGACCCGAACAATTAGCTGCGGCCTGATTAATGGGGGGAAATTATCGGTCCCGCGGGACCTCCTCCCCCAGCACAGGGAGCGGAGGGAGGCAGGGAGCGGAGGGAGGCAGAGCTCCCGGTCTGAGGGTGATGGAGGAAACGCTGGGACCTGCTCAGACCACCCTACCCCACTTCCCCAGTGGCGGGGAGACCTTGAGGAAGGGGAGGGAGGGGACATTGGGACCAGAATGACTGGGCCTCCCTGGGAAGCAAAAAAGACCTGGGGCCCCACTGAGGGTCCCTGGCTAGAAAGGATCCCAAAAGGGGTGCTGGTCCTACAGTGGGAGCCTGGGGAACTTTGACCAGCAGCTGCACTAAGGGAGGGGGGTGCAGTGCAGCTAGTTAATTAGTGGCTTATCAGGCCAAGCTCCGAGTGAGTTAATTAGCTTTGTAGAGAGAGATAATGAGTCAGTCTTCGGACCATGAATCTGGGGAGAAGCCTAAGTGATGGACTGCGGCCCACCCTGATCTCCTCCTGGACCCTTGCATTTTCTTCTAGCTCTGAGATTCCTGGAAAAGAATTCCCCCTCCTCCACAACCCCAACTCACATGGTCCCCAGCCTACCCCTTGAGAAGTCCTTCCTTCAGTCTAATCCCAGTCCTTCCTGCTGTGGAGCACATTGGGTGTCCCCTGCCTAAAGCAAGGGGAAACTGAGGAGAGACAAGGCTGGACAAAGGGCCACTGAAAGAGGAACAAGGCATTCCCAGCCCCCCAATCCTGGGGACCCCCCCAGGCCAACCCCCTACCAGTTCCCCCTCCACCCTCCCAATTGATCCCACACCCGTTAACCTGCCAGTGGGCTGGCCACTAATTAATCCCTGGGTGGAGGAGGGGGGCAGGGTCAGAGGTTAAAGACGCTATTGAGGGCCCAAAGGATAGGTGTTGCCAAGCTCAGGCCTCTGCAGAGAGGACCCAACCTAGGAACTAAACCCTGGGATCTCCCTTCCTCAAAACTGGTAGGTGGGGGTCCTTCCCTTACATCATCCCACTCACCCCTCTTCTGCATGAAGCTAAACAGGTCATCCAGAAATTCCTTCCTCTTGGGGTCTCCATCAAGCTCGTACAGCTGGGGAAGGACTGAGGTCATTTTTCAGCTCCACTGACTGCCCCCCTCCCCCTGGGACCCCAACTCAGGTTATACCCTGAATAAGGGTTCTCAGCTGAAAGGGTGGGTTGGGTTTGAAATGTGGACTCCCTGGCATTAGACTCTCTCCCCATGAGGGTAGGTAGGGGCACTTTTTTCTGATATACACGCAGACCCTCCACTGGCCAGGGGGGCCCTGGGAAGCTCATACCATCCCTCTGGGGAATAGGGGATGAGAGGAGGCTTAGGAGGCTCAGCCTGCCCTCCAGGGCATACACAGAGTCCCAGGGAGGAAGTCAGGCTAGGATAGTGCGTCATACCGAGGAAACTGACAGCTGTTTTTGAGGCACTCATTTGCTCTTGTTCATTCCTGCAAAGGCTTCTTGCTTTTCACATCCCCATGTACCAGAGCTGGGGATGAAGGGCGGAGATACCTCTAACCCATTCCTTGGGCAGAGTGGATACTCAGAAGCTTCTGGATTGAAACCTGGGGCCCCTCAGCCTACCTTCTGGTCTCTTTCCAGGGACAGTGACCTACCCACTACAAAGGCTGCTACAGAGGTAATGGCCCTGCACCACCCAGGACCTGTGGGGTCAGAACTTGAAAGGCCCAGAGGTCATCCCACGCATTTCCAGTCACCTGGAGCCCCATCTCCAGTATCACCTCCCCAATACCACCCAGGAGAAACAATCCCTAGAGTAACACTCATTTACCCAGAATAACAGTCCCTGAGTGACACCAATAGGTAACACTCCATTCCCCCAATAAGAACTCTCAGAATTAAAAAAAAAAAAAACACCCATGAGTAACAAACCCCAGAGATCCACTTTAGACCTACACTCCCACAAGAACTGAGCCCAAAGTCTTAGATGGATACCCACAAATAACAAACATGCTCTCCAAGTAATAATCCCCAGAATTATGCTCAGGAGAAACAGTCACAGAGCCACAGAGTACTAGCCACAGATGAACACTTCTGGAAAATACCCAAGACCAACATCCTGCAAGTAACATCACCAGAACAGCACACCTAGAGTCAGAGCCCTTCATAATACCTTCCTAGTGACAGCCTGAAGCAGTGCCTTAGAATAACATTCAGATGGGTTCCACGGAGAGGAAGAACCTCAAATTAAGGCTCTATGAGTAAGATCTGGTCATTCCCAGCTGTATAGGAGCCCTTTAGTCACACCACGGCTGTCGTGGCCATCACAGACTAGGAACTGTCACCCACAGAACTCAGGCCAGGGAGAGGATTTGGATGAGGGCAATGCAAGAGGGAAGAGATGAGGGGGGTATCAGCTTGCCAAAGGAATGGCAACCTCCAACCTGCTTCCAAAGACAGAAATAGGCAGCCCAGGAAACCCCCACTGGTTGCTGGAATATGACCTTGCGACTTGATGTGTGAGAAGGTAGGGTAAGATGGTTCTGGCACTGGAATCCCCATTCCTCAGATCCCACTCCCTCAAAAGAATTCTTGAAGCTCCTCACCCCTCCCACTTTTCCTTCCAGCCTCACCAAGAGCCTCCAGTCTGTCATGCCTCCTCCATGTTTCTGGGCGTCTCCTGCACCTTTCAGTGTGTGCCTATGCACTTCTTTCCATGTCTCTGGGTGTCCGTTTCTCCCTCCCCGTCACCTTCTATCTTTCAGTCTTTCCCCCTGTCTCTCTCCAGGTCTCTGTGCCTCTGTCTTTCCATCCTGCAGAGGGCAGTGGGGGTGGGTGGGCTAAGAATCACCTGGCTTTGCTTTTCCCAGAGAGGAGAAAGGGGAGAGGGCCTGATATGGAGGGGGTCTTACCTGCTTGAACTGTTCCTCGAAGGTCCATTCATGGGGATGAGGTCCAGGGGGTTGGCTGGAAGGTGAGCTGGGGCCCTGTGTCCCTGGACGGCTCTCCTCGGCTGCCTCCTCCTCTGCCCCGGCTTCCTCCCCTTCCTCATCCTCTTCAGCATCCTCCTCTTCTTCAGTCCCAATCTCCCCCAAAACCCCCTCAGGGGCCTGAAGGGTCCGGGGGCCAGGCAAGGGAGGTAGTGGTGGTGGCAGTGAGTGTGGAGGGGCCAAAGGCCCCACCCCTTGGGCCAGGCGGGCTGCCTGCTGCCTCTGCAGGGCCTCCATTACAGCTTCCAGGCGCAGTCCCCCCGCTGGTGGGGGGGCTGGCACCAGGCGGGGCCCGGAGGAAAGGGCCGCCTGTGGGGGGTGGGAATTATGAGTGTTGTGCCCTGCTGCCCCCACAACCCCCAGCACAAGAGGAGGTGGTCATTGATTCAGGGAAGTGTGGGGGGCCATAAGAAAAAAGGAGAAAGATAGCTTTCCCAGAGATCGACAGAGACAGAGGTAGAAAGAGCAGGAGAGACAAGAAACCAGACTCAAAAGGACAGAAATGGACATTGACAGAGGACAGGTAGAGACAGCAGATCAGAGAGGGTGACAAGGACCAAGAAATGGAGAGAAGGGGGTGGGGGGAGAGAGCGAGAGCACAAGCGAGAGCCAAGCAAGAGACAATGACAGGAGAGATATGGAAATAGAAATAGAGATGGGACTGAGAGACAACGAGAGACAGAGGTGGGGAGAGACAAAGATATCAGGCAGAGACAAGAACAGAGAGACAGAAGTGGGGAGAGATGAGATTGATAGAGATACTGGGTAGAGAGGGAAGGTAAGAGACATAGAGGAGCAAGAGATAAATAACAAGACCTGAGTGACAGGCAGTCCAGAGAGAGGGACAGAGACAGAGGGGGAGAGAGAGATAAATAGTGAGACAGTGGTTGAGAGAGACAGGGAAAGACCGACGCCGCGGGAGACAGAGACTGAAGAGAGAAAAGATTAGAAAGAAACAGGGCGAGACAGTAAATAGAGGGAAACAGGGACAGAGGCAGGGAAAAACAGACGGAGAGACGGGGCAGAGACGCAGAGGATCAGCACTGAGGAGGCGCGGGAACAGAGGGCGGCGGGGGCAGAGCCCGGGGCCGGGCGGGCTGGGGACCGCGACCGCGGGGTCTCGACGCCCACTCTCTGGCTCCCCACGCCCCGCGGCGCACTCACCAGCCTGGCGCGGCCCGGTGCCCCCGGCGTCTCCACGGCGCTCCCTCTGCTCCGCCCGCCTCTCGGGTAGCCCCTTGCTCGGCTCGCTTCCCTGCGCGGGGTCCCCCGCCGTGCGCTCCTGCCGCCGTGCGCTCTTCTGGCCACCGTGCGCTCACGCGCCGCTCTGCCTGCGGCGGCCGCGGGGGCGGGACCCGAGAGGGGCCGGGCGGGGGCGCCGGGGGAGAGGCCCCGGGGGGCTCTGCTGCTCCCAGCCCCCCAACAGGTGTTTCCCCCTCCGTACTGCCAGGTTGGGGGGAGGGGGCGCTGGAGAGCCGCCGGGAATCGTTTAAAGGAGAGTGAGGAGTCTAACACCCTTGGACTCTGGACCAGGGCCCCGTCACACCCACAAGGCGTGCCCCCCAAATCCACACTCAGTGCCCGGCATTCACACACAAATAGCCGTGTTCACACCCTGTCACAAGCTCAGGTACACAGCTGCCCTGTCTCACATATTTGGTTACACGGACATTATAGCGCCAATGGCCTGGGCAGGTTGTGATCATGAGGGGAGTCACTCTGCAAGATGCTGAGGTGAATGTGGAGGGCCTGCACAGAGAGAAAGCTTCTCCCCCTGCCCTGCCCAAGTGCTGTCCCCAACAGCACGCACGCTGCAGATTGCGCAGTACGTGCCCATGGTGGTGGACTCACACATCTGCACTCACACACTCAGGTCTCTGAACTGATTCCACAATCACAGCAGCAGGCTACACACACCACAAGCAGATACATAGTCACTCGTTCTCTCCTTCCTTCCTTCCTTCCTTCCTTCCTTCCTTCCTTCCTTCCTTCCTTCCTTCCTTCCTTCCTTCCTTCCTTTCTTCTTTCTTTCTTTCTTTCCTTCCTTTCTTTTCTTTCTTCTTTCTTTTTCTTTTTTCTCTTTCTTTCTTCCTCTTTCTTTCTTCCTTCCTCCCTTCCTTCCTTCCTTCCTCCCTCCCTCCCTTCCTTCCTTTTTCTTTTTTTTTTAAGCTCTTGTAACCTTCTGTTATGGACATTTTCAAACATATACCCAAGAAGAGTGCATAGTATTATGAACCTCTGGTATCCATCTCACATTTCAACTGTCATTATTACCATTTTGCCAATCTTCACACACATCCTCAACCCTTCTGTATGAGACTCCACAGTGTGTATCTCCAGACCCCTTCAGCCAACTGTTCCAGGCCCACTCTACCCTCAGTAATCCCCCAGATGCTGAGATGCTGTATCTTATTTGGGGGCCCTGAGTGGCAGGCCACAATTTTTCCTCTGAGAAGACTGGACCCCACTTCTCCCAGGCACTCTCATGCCTTCTCCAGTTTCTTCCTGTGCCCAATACGATGGACCTACTAAAAGCATGAGGGCCATCCAGGAGTGATTCCAAGTGTGTGAGTAAACAACCTGTATCTGTTGATTTGACACCTGGCATGAGCGTGAAACTCACTATGTCAGATCCAGCACCAGGGACCATCCCCTGACCTCATACCCAGTGAGGCACACTGTTCCCAGGGCCAAGATTCCTCTAGGAGGCAGAAATTCAGGTGTGACTTTGCCTCCTTCCTCCTCCTCCACCCTCTCCCAATCAGTCCCCTCCTCTCAGACCCAGCTTGCCCTGGCCTGGATCACTAGCTCTTCTCACTTCTCTTCTTGTGCTGGGTGACACCTTGCTGCTCTTCTTGTCCTCTAGCCTCCACCCTTGTCCCCTGTCCAGATTCCACTGCAGCACTAAGTCCTTGTTCTCTTTGGCCCATCTCTGGCCATACTAAAACTCAGTACTGCTCACACCTTTGGCTCACTCCAGTGTCCTGCTCAGATTTCAGACCTGAGAGCCAGCCAAACCCCAACCTCTCAAGGATCCTTGGTGATCCACCTGCCCTCAGTATTGATGCCTGCTCCCCCATAGCTTTGTGTGGTGTGAGTTCTCCTGGGGAGAGTCCTGCTCCCTCCTCTGGGCCCAGAGGGGAGAATCTGACTGTGCAGAAGCAAACATACTCTAGGGGCTCCTGGGGAACTCGGACAGAGGGTGGAGCTCTGCAGAACCCCTGTGCCCAGTTTGCTCCCCTTATACCCCACCCCTCACGCCCTCCAACCACCTGCTCAGAGAAGAGTTAGGTGCCTGGAGAGAAATAGATGGTAAGATTTTTCTTGGAAAGATAGGAACTGGCTTAGGGAAATGCCAGTTCTGAGAGTTTGGAGATTGCTTTGCAGAGGGCGGAGGACAGGGGCAAGGGATTGGGCAACTACTCCCAAAAGAAAGGAAATCAATCATCAATCAAGCATAGTAAACCTGTCTTGGGGTCTGGGCCAGGAGGGCTACAACTGGGAAGGGCTGAGAGGAAGCAATAAGCTTCACTGGGACCTGGTTTCTCTCTCTCTTCATCTGTGAAGAGGAAAGGCTCTCTCTTACACCCTCACTTAGCTCCCATCTGATCCTAAACCTCAAAGAGACAAAGACAGACAGACAGACGTAGACCTCCATTCATCCAACACATCTACTGAGCACCTACTTTATGCTAGACACTGTTGGAAATGGGAATAAATAAAACAAAGTCCTTATTATAATGGTATAATTCCAGTGGGGGAAATACATAGTATATCAGAGGGCAATAATTAAAATGGGGAAAAACAAAACTGGGTTGAGGGGAATAGAAAGGGAAGGATACATGTTACCTATTACTTTGTAACAAATTACACTTACACTTAGCAAGCTTAAAACAACATTTATTTTCTCACAATTCTGTGGATCAGGAATTCGAGAGTGGCATGGCTGGGTGGTTCTGGCTCACCACTTCTCATGAAGTTGTAGTAAAAATGTTGGCTGTAGCTACAGCTACATGAAGGCTTGACTGGGATTGGAGGATCCCCACTTCCAGGATGGCTCACTCACATGGCTGTTGGTAGGAAGCTGTTCTCCCCAGGTGGACCTCTCCATAGGATAGGACCTGTGCCTGAGTGTCTTCCCAACATGGCAGCTGGTTTCCCCCACAGTGACCCAAGAAAGACTAAAGAGGCAGCAATGCTTTTTACGGTCTAGTCTTGGAAATCACACGGTCACTTCTGCCATGTATTTGTTAAAATTACATAACTAAGTCCAGCCCATATTCAAGAGGAAGGGAATTAGTCTTCACCTCTTAAAGGGAGGAGTATCAAAAACTTTATGGAGGCATTTTAAAACCACCACAGAGGGGTGCCTGGGTGGCTCAGATGGTTAAGCATCTGCCCTGCATTGGGCTCCCAGCTCAGCGGGAAGTCTGCTTCTCCCCCTCCTTGCTCTTTCAAATGAATAAATAAGAAATCTTAAAAAAATAGGGCACCTGGGTGGCTCAGATGGTTAAGCGTCTGCCTTTGGCTCAGGTCATGATCTCAGGGTCCTGGGATCGAGTCCCGCATCGGGCTCCCTGCTCCTTGGGAGCCTGCTTCTCGCTCTGCCTCTCTCTCTCATGAATAAATAAATAAAATCTTAAAAAAAAAAAAAAAAAGAAATCTTAAAAAAATAAAATAAAATAGGGGCGCCTGGGTGGCTCAGTCGTTGAGCGTCTGCCTTCGGCTCAGGTCATGATCCCAGGGTCCTGGAATCCAGTCCTACATCGGGCTCCCTGCTTGGCGAGCCTGCTGCTCCCCCTGCTGTGCTCTTTCTCTGTCAAATAAGTAAAATCTTTAATAAATAAATAATGAGATAAAATAAAGTAAAATAAAACCACCACAGAACAGGGAAGGGGACGGTGCCTGGCTGGCTCAGTTGGCAGAGCATGTGACTTTTTTTTTTAAGATTTATTTTATTTATTTTAGAGAGTGTGAGTGAGCAGGGGGAGGGACAGAGAGAGAGAGAGACTCTCAAGCTGACTCCCCGCTGAGCATAGAGCCCAATACAGGGCTCAATCTCATGACCATGAGATCATGGCCCAAGCCAAAATAAAGAGTCGGAAGCTTAACTGACTGAGCCACCTAGGCACCCCAGAGCATGTAACTCATGATCTCAGGATTGTGAGTTTGATCCCCATGTTGAGTGTGGGGCCTACTTAAATAAATAAATGATAAATTAAAACAAACAAACACCCTTCTGTGTTTACAAAATGTTAAGGGAAGAACCAAGTATTGAAAGAGTGGAGGAAGAGAGCCATAGGCATATCTAGGGAAGAGCACTGCAGCTAGAAGAGTAGGTACAAATATCCTGCGGTGGAAGTTTGCTTGGTGTGTCAGAGGAAAGCAAGTAAGCCACTGTGCTAAAGTAAGGTAGCCAGGGTAAACGGTCAGACATTTGGTCATAGCTAACATGGGCCTTGGAGTAGGTCCTGGAGGCAGTGAAAGGACTAAATGAGATGGAAGCCATTAGAAATGTCTGAGCAGAAGAAAAAAACAAAGAAATGTCTGAGCAGAGAGAAGTCTGACTGTGGTTATTGTGTGGAGAATCGTCCACACAGGATACAAACATGAGGATTAATTAAGAGTCTGTTGCAGTAATCCAGGCAAGAATACTCCAGGTCCAAGATGGCTTGGACCAGGTAGTAACAGTGAAAGTGGCAAGATGTGGGGAGATTCTCGATATGTTTTAAAGATAAAACTGACAGGATCTGTTGATGGCTTCGATATCAGATGTGAGAATGAAAGGTATCCAAGATGGGGTGCCTGGCTGG